AAGAGCATTCTTTCTTTTATTAAAAGATTGTTTTATTGGGGGCTCTTAGAACTCTTATACCAATCCATACATCAGTTGTATCAAGCATATTTGTACTTATACTTTATGCTGCCATCATTCTTTTCTAGACATTTACTTTCTATTGAGCCCTTGGAGAACATTCTTTCTTGAGCCAATGTTTTACAATGATGGTTACAAAATGCTGGTTGTCTAATTCTACCTTTCATTAAGGGTCTTGAATTTAGTCAGTGACGCTAGTTAGTACTGTATGCAGCCACATTCAGTGCCATTTGTTGAGATGTGGAGAGCTAGATTCTACCAGAGTTGGGGTTTTGCCCAGAAAGTAATACAAAGAGGAAAAAAAGAAGAGAAAATTCCAAGAGGGAGGGGAGTGATTACAGTGACGTCCCCCAGAATTGAAGCCAGAGTTTACAGCGAGGCCAGTGAGAGAACACTCTGCTGTGAGGAAGGACCCCACCATCTTTTTCTTTAAATAATCCTATGGATACTTTAATCCTGAATTTTCACAATGGTTTAAAGTGATTCCTATTGTTAGGGGCCACTGAATCAGCTCCAACTCATAGCAACTGTGTGTACCACAGAGGAAACCGTGCCCAGGCTGCACCCACCTCCCCATGTGGTTGTGCCTGAGCCCATGGTTGCAGCCTCAACACCACAGCACACGTGACTCATAGACAGGGTCACTGTGAGTCAGCGTGGACTCGATGGCTATGAGTGTGCAAAACCACTTTTACCTGTTTCATAGATTAATAGATGTACTGCTTAGTGAAGTAATTCTTTCTAGTTTATAGTGTTGCATCGCTTCTCTTTTTCCTCCAAAAAATTCAAAGAGAGAGAATATGAGCCCAAACATTTGATAGTGCTTATGTGTTTTAACAAATTCTGAAAACCATCATCTTGAGCTTATTTCTGTTTGAAGAAAGACAGAGACACAACACAGAAGTCCAGATAATTAGCTTCTGTCACTGTTAATTTTACTCTTTTTTTCTTCACTTGTTCTTTAGAGGAACTGTTGAATTTAATAAAATGTCAAAATTACTCTTACATTTACTGAGTACTTTAATTTTGGTTTCATAATAATTTGTCTTCTTATTCTTTGAAAAGGTAAAACAATTTAATGGCAATTTTTACTGTTAGCTGAAAATTATTGCCGCCATAATTTTCCAAGGAACCCTTCACCAAACTTCATTGTCGCCAGCCTGCCTGCGCATGGAAAGACTGTTTTGCACCAAACCTTTAAGTAAGGTGACCAGATTTTAACATTGGTAATACGGGACACCATTGATAAAGCTCATATTCTGGCGAAATAGCCACATGGCAACCGAAAACCTTATGCCCTAGCTTGTTGTGCATTCTTTCCAAAAATCGGGACTTTAAAAAAAATGCTGCGGGACGCAGGACAAATTGTTAAAAATCTGGACTGCCCCGCCAAAAGCGGGACGTCTGGTCACCTTACCTTTAAATCAAGAAACTTTTTTATTTGTGGGTGATTTTATTAAACTCCTTTAACAATACAAGTTACAGTAGCTGTTCTCCTTTCCTGGTGAGTATGTAAAAAAAATAATGAGGGAATCTGTGAGCAGTCTTCTCCCAACATACAAAGGGAAGACCTGGCATAGAACAACATTTATACTGATCAATTGGTTTAATTTGCTGATTTAATTTGTGTTAACTTTCCATTTACTCTATTTACTCATATTTTTATTGTTTCTCTTATTCAGTGAAACTTTGATCTTTCCCATAATCATTTTACCTGGCTCAATAGTGTTGCATATATATGGACCATATTTGGGAATATAATCTACATAACCAACAAAATATTCTTTTGTGCTTGATAATTTATTTTGATGATATTTAATGTAAATGCAAAAATAGAGATTATTTCACTTTCCAAGTGCTCTACTGAATTGAAGCAATATTACATGTATTTTAATGGAAAAATCCTGAAAAATAACTGATATATGTGTATAGAGCAGGTATGTTTTATTTCTATGTAGTGTAGCATTTCTTAAATGAGAGGTCTTCAAACCACTTCCCTGAAGAAAGTTTTGTTCCAATAAATTAGTGAGATACCAAATAAAATATCATCTTTTAGAGATTCATAAATCTCCTTAGCACATTAAAGGTTGTCTGAATATAACCAAATGTTTCCCCAACTATTTGACAATAAAACCCTTTTATGTAAATATTGCAAAACACTAGTGTTGTCAGAAGCAAACCACAAGGTCAGCAGTTCAAAACCACCAGCCACTCCAAGGGAGAAAGATGAGGCTTTCTGCTCCCAAAAAGATTTTCCTCGGAAACCTATGGGGGGCAGTTCTATTCTTATGGATTGGAATTGAATATGGATTGGAATAATCTTATGGATTGCAATGGACTCAATGGCAATGAGAGTGTTGAAAGACATACCATCTAAAGAAAAAAAAACACCTTGGAATAATATTTTCCTCTGTATTTAAATGTTCTCTGCAATTCCTTTCCAAATAATTAACTACATTTGTACCTTTTGGTTGGAAGATTCACTCTGAATTCATTAAGTCAGGATGCTTAGAAGAAAGAATGGAAAATATAAGAGAAAGTAATTAAAATAAAAGTAAGCCCCAACTCCCAGACACTCTATCATTGTTTGTTTTTTAAACTGTAGTTGTTCAATCTCACTATTTTCAAAGGTATTAAAATTTTTAAAACAGTTAAAATTGTATAGTATCTCATTAGTATGTATTTTCAGTTGAAGAGTTCTGTTTTGCCACTTGCCTTCCTTTGCTTAGTCAGTAGTTGACAAGGATGTTATTTCAGCGTCATTCCTATCAGCTTCTGATTCCTGCTGTGTCGCCCCAAATTTGTTGCTGTCTGACTCCCAGTGGCCCCAGCTGTATCGGAGTAGAACTATTGCTCCATGGGGTTTTCATGGCTGTTACTTTAGGCCTTAAAGTTTAGGGCAAGAAGCCCTGGTAGCACTGTCAGGTAAGCATTAGTCTGCTAACCACAGAGTCAGTGGTTCAAACTCACCAGCCACTCTGAGGGAGAAAGATGAGCATATATTTAGCCCCCCAGAAACCTTGTATGTGATCACCGTGGGTCAGAATAGACTCGATGGTGGTGGTTGGCTTTCCTTTGCACCTTTTGGCAGCAGTTGCTATGCTTTTCTATGCTTTTCTTCAAAGCCTTTCTGGGTGGATGTAAACCACCAACTTTCAGTTAATGGCTGAGCTTCCTAAAGTCCAAAGGTGATAGTAATCTTATATAAACTTAAAGTAAAAAAAAAGATGGGGGCAGGGAGGGATGGGGGAAATGAGCTGATATCAAGGGCTCAAGTAGAAAGAAAATGTTTTGAGAATGATGATGGCAACAAATGTACAAATGTGCTTGACACAATGGATGGATATGGATGGATTGTGGTAAGAGTGTTTGAGCCCCCAATAAAATGATTAAAAAAAAAAAAAGAATCCACAGTCCTATAGACTTGTAAGGTTCACGTCTTTTTAGCTACCTTCCCACCTCTGTTGGATAATGTTAGGAAACCTCACTGCTGTAGGCCTTCAAGTGTTGTGATGATTCCATCTTACAATTGGTAGTAATGCTGATGATTTTTTAAAAGTGGTATTTTGGTGTGGGTTGTGGTGAAAGTTTATACAGCTCATTAATTTCCCATTAAACAATTTCTCCACAATTTGCTCAGCGACATTGGTAACATTTGTTATACTCTGTCAACAAACTTTTTTCCCATTCAGGTTCTTTTGTTTCTAGTGGGCTAGTCTCTCTACCCCCTTACCATTTCATCCTTACTTTAGAGTAAATGTGTTGAGTCTGGTTTCCTATGGGTAATTTTTTATAATGAGAGATTTATTTAGCTAAAAGGTGACCACATGGAATAGTTTCAGTTCATAGTTTAAAGAAAATCTCAGGGTGATAGTCTCAGGGAATCCTCCAGTGTCAAACTGATCCAGTAAATCTGGACTTTTTAAAAAATTGAGCTTCAGTGGACAAATTGCTCCCATTCTGTTAGGATCTGTTGTGTTCCTGGTTCACAGTACTGCTAGTGACAGCCGGTACCATCCAACTCTGGCTGGAGGGTGTGTGAGTTTGTGCTTCATGTAGACCTGGTTCATTTCCGACTCTTTAGTTTTCTTCTTTCCCTTTTCCTTCAGATGCAGTGAGGTCAATAGTTGTACCCTTGATGGCTGCTTGCAAGTTTTTAAGATGCCAGATACCACTCACCAAAGTAGGATGTAGAAATGGAAACGTTTTATATTATGCCGTTTGACCAATAGGCTCACAAGATTATGATCCTAAGCCTGCAGGCCTGGTGAACCCATCCTATGAGATGTTTGGCTGAGGCTAAGAAGTATCCATTTGTTTGTTCCCTATGTGCTTCATTGTGTATATGGATAAGCTTACATATGCCTATGTGATACACCCACATAGTCCCACATGTGTACACACATGCACACACCTACTCACAGCATTGACATTTTTATCCTTTAGTGACTGGCTTCTGGAGGGCAGTTCGGCTTACTTCTAGTGAATGTGGAGGTGGGACACTGTATAATCTCAGGATTGCGAAGATTTTCTTCCTGCTAGTTTTAGGGAGGCTGGGAATGCAGACTGGCCTGTTGTGGCTGCTTTTTAGACAGAAAGAGGGAGGGATGAGCCAGAACACAGTCCGTGTGTGGCAGGGACAGTGGAGGCTCCTGTGATGAGTACACAGGCTTAGAAGTCAGGGAAGCAGCAGTGGGCTCCTAGGGAGGGTAAGAGACTGCAGCTGCCTGTGTGTTCCCCTCAATGATACCATCAGTAAGCTTAATACACTTAGAAGAAGCTAGGCACAGTAGATTTACTGTTTTTAAACTTCTATCGAGAAACAGGCAGCAAAGATGGAAAAGGAGACGGAGGAGGCCAGAAAGCCTTAGGTTAGGAACCTGTAGATATCACAGTAGTTGCTAGCAGCATTCCAGTTGACTTCCAGTTCATGACAGCCCCATGCACAAAGACATGAACTGCTTTCCAGTTTTGTACCATCTCTGTGACCAACCATGGAGCAGACCATTTTGAGCCATAGTGTTTTCATTGACTGCTTTTCCAAAGTAGATTTCCCAGGGTTCCTTTCTAATCTGTCTTAGTCTGGAAATTCTAGACTGGAAATTGAATGCAGGTTGCCCAAATAGAAGGTATTATAACACCCACCAGTGTTCCTGGCTATAGTACAGGCCCTGGGTGATCACAAATGTTATAATTGCAGGATCCCTGTGACACTGGGTTGCTATGAATTGGAGGAAGCACACATTTATACCAAGAAACTCGGAAAAGAGTTGCTTGACCAACTGTTTGGAAGCAATCCATATTTGTACCCATTCCAAAAAAGATGATCCAACAGAATGTCCAAATTATAGAACAGTGTCCTGGACATCACATGCAAGTAAAATTTTACTGAAGATCATCCAGCAACAATTGCAGCAGTACATTACCAGAAATTCAGGCCAGAATCAAAAGAGAAAGTGGAACAAGGGATATCATTACTGATGCTAGATGGATCTTGACAGAAAGCAGAGGATACCAGAGAGGTGTTTACTTATGTTAAACTTACTTAAATGCATGGTGGGTTTTGTTTGGATTTTTTGTTTTTGATCATGCAAGGGCATTTGAGGGTGTGGATCATAACAAACTATGGATAGCCTTGAGTAGAATAGGAAAACTGGAGCATTTCATTGTGTTCATTCGAACCTGTACATGGATTAAGAGGGAGTTGTGCAGAATATTGCATGTTTTCAAATCAGGAAAGGTGTGTGTCAAGGGTTGTAGCCTCTTACCATATTTATTCAATCTGTATGCTGAGCAAAGAATCAGAGGAGCAGCGCTATATGAAGAAGAATTTGGCGGCATGATTCGAGGAAGGCTTAAAACAAGCTGCAGTATGTAGATGACATAAATTTGCTTGCTGAAAGTGAGATGACTTGAAGTACTTGCTGATGAAAATCAAGGATTTCAGCCTTCAGTATGGATTCGAACTCAATGAAAACAAAATGCAAATCCTCACAACTAGGCCAGAAGGTCACAACATGATAAATGGAGGAAAGATTGAAGTTGTCCGGGATTTCATGCTCCTTGGATCCACAGTCCATGCCCATGAAAACAGCAGTCAATGATACATTGCATTGGATAAATTTGGTGCTCAAGACCTCTTTAAAGTGTTGGAAAGCTGGCAAAGAAGGTTGATGGTGCCTGGCTATCAAAAGATTAGCGTCTGGGGTCTTAAAGGCTTGAAGGTAAACAAGCAGCCATCTAGCACAGAAGCAACAAAGCCCACATGGAAGAAGCACACCAGCCTGTGCGATCATGAGGT